GCTGAGTGTGTGTGTGTTATGGGATGTAACTCTATAAGCAGTGTTGTGCTGAGTGTGTGTGTGTTATGAGATGTAACTCTATAAGCAGTGTTGTGCTGAGTGTGTGTGTGTTATGAGATGTAACTCTATAAGCAGTGTTGTGCTGAGTGTGTGTGTGTTATGAGATGTAACTCTATAAGCAGTGTTGTGCTGAGTGTGTGTGTGTTATGAGATGTAACTCTATAAGCAGTGTTGTGCTGAGTGTGTGTGTGTTATGAGATGTAACTCTATAAGCAGTGTTGTGCTGAGTGTGTGTGTGTTATGAGATGTAACTCTATAAGCAGTGTTGTGCTGAGTGTGTGTGTGTTATGAGATGTAACTCTATAAGCAGTGTTGTGCTGAGTGTGTGTGTGTTATGAGATGTAACTCTATAAGCAGTGTTGTGCTGAGTGTGTGTGTGTTATGGGATGTAACTCTATAAGCAGTGTTGTGCTGAGTGTGTGTGTGTTATGAGATGTAAGTCTATAAGCAGTGTTGTGCTGAGTGTGTGTGTGTTATGGGATGTAACTCTATAAGCAGTGTTGTGCTGAGTGTGTGTGTGTTATGAGATGTAACTCTATAGCAGTGTTGTGCTGAGTGTGTGTGTGTTATGAGATGTAAGTCTATAAGCAGTGTTGTGCTGAGTGTGTGTGTGTTATGAGATGTAACTCTATAGCAGTGTTGTGCTGAGTGTGTGTGTGTTATGAGATGTAACTCTATAAGCAGTGTTGTGCTGAGTGTGTGTGTGTTATGAGATGTAACTCTATAAGCAGTGTTGTGCTGAGTGTGTGTGTGTTATGAGATGTAACTCTATAAGCAGTGTTGTGCTGAGTGTGTGTGTGTTATGAGATGTAACTCTATAAGCAGTGTTGTGCTGAGTGTGTGTGTGTTATGAGATGTAACTCTATAGCAGTGTTGTGCTGAGTGTGTGTGTGTTATGAGATGTAACTCTATAAGCAGTGTTGTGCTGAGTGTGTGTGTGTTATGAGATGTAACTCTATAGCAGTGTTGTGCTGAGTGTGTGTGTGTTATGAGATGTAACTCTATAAGCAGTGTTGTGCTGAGTGTGTGTGTGATATGAGATGTAACTCTATAAGCAGTGTTGTGCTGAGTGTGTGTGTGTTATGAGATGTAACTCTATAAGCAGTGTTGTGCTGAGTGTGTGTGTGTTATGAGATGTAACTCTATAGCAGTGTTGTGCTGAGTGTGTGTGTGTTATGGGATGTAACTCTATAAGCAGTGTTGTGCTGAGTGTGTGTGTGTTATGGGATGTAACTCTATAGCAGTGTTGTGCTGAGTGTGTGTGTGTTATGGGATGTAACTCTATAAGCAGTGTTGTGCTGAGTGTGTGTGTGATATGAGATGTAACTCTATAAGCAGTGTTGTGCTGAGTGTGTGTGTGATATGAGATGTAACTCTATAAGCAGTGTTGTGCTGAGTGTGTGTGTGTTATGAGATGTAACTCTATAAGCAGTGTTGTGCTGAGTGTGTGTGTGTTATGAGATGTAACTCTATAAGCAGTGTTGTGCTGAGTGTGTGTGTGTTATGAGATGTAACTCTATAAGCAGTGTTGTGCTGAGTGTGTGTGTGATATGAGATGTAACTCTATAAGCAGTGTTGTGCTGAGTGTGTGTGTGATATGAGATGTAACTCTATAAGCAGTGTTGTGCTGAGTGTGTGTGTGTTATGAGATGTAACTCTATAAGCAGTGTTGTGCTGAGTGTGTGTGTGATATGAGATGTAACTCTATAAGCAGTGTTGTGCTGAGTGTGTGTGTGTTATGAGATGTAACTCTATAAGCAGTGTTGTGCTGAGTGTGTGTGTGTTATGAGATGTAACTCTATAAGCAGTGTTGTGCTGAGTGTGTGTGTGTTATGAGATGTAACTCTATAGCAGTGTTGTGCTGAGTGTGTGTGTGTTATGAGATGTAACTCTATAAGCAGTGTTGTGCTGAGTGTGTGTGTGTTATGAGATGTAACTCTATAGCAGTGTTGTGCTGAGTGTGTGTGTGTTATGGGATGTAACTCTATAAGCAGTGTTGTGCTGAGTGTGTGTGTGTTATGAGATGTAACTCTATAAGCAGTGTTGTGCTGAGTGTGTGTGTGTTATGAGATGTAACTCTATAAGCAGTGTTGTGCTGAGTGTGTGTGTGTTATGAGATGTAACTCTATAAGCAGTGTTGTGCTGAGTGTGTGTGTGATATGAGATGTAACTCTATAAGCAGTGTTGTGCTGAGTGTGTGTGTGTTATGAGATGTAACTCTATAAGCAGTGTTGTGCTGAGTGTGTGTGTGTTATGAGATGTAACTCTATAAGCAGTGTTGTGCTGAGTGTGTGTGTGTTATGAGATGTAACTCTATAAGCAGTGTTGTGCTGAGTGTGTGTGTGATATGAGATGTAACTCTATAAGCAGTGTTGTGCTGAGTGTGTGTGTGTTATGAGATGTAACTCTATAAGCAGTGTTGTGCTGAGTGTGTGTGTGTTATGAGATGTAACTCTATAAGCAGTGTTGTGCTGAGTGTGTGTGTGTTATGGGATGTAACTCTATAAGCAGTGTTGTGCTGAGTGTGTGTGTGATATGAGATGTAACTCTATAAGCAGTGTTGTGCTGAGTGTGTGTGTGTTATGGGATGTAACTCTATAAGCAGTGTTGTGCTGAGTGTGTGTGTGTTATGGGATGTAACTCTATAAGCAGTGTTGTGCTGAGTGTGTGTGTGTTATGGGATGTAACTCTATAAGCAGTGTTGTGCTGAGTGTGTGTGTTATGAGATGTAACTCTATAAGCAGTGTTGTGCTGAGTGTGTGTGTGTTATGGGATGTAACTCTATAAGCAGTGTTGTGCTGAGTGTGTGTGTGATATGAGATGTAACTCTATAAGCAGTGTTGTGCTGAGTGTGTGTGTGTTATGGGATGTAACTCTATAAGCAGTGTTGTGCTGAGTGTGTGTGTGTTATGAGATGTAACTCTATAAGCAGTGTTGTGCTGAGTGTGTGTGTGTTATGAGATGTAACTCTATAAGCAGTGTTGTGCTGAGTGTGTGTGTGTTATGAGATGTAACTCTATAAGCAGTGTTGTGCTGAGTGTGTGTGTGTTATGAGATGTAACTCTATAAGCAGTGTTGTGCTGAGTGTGTGTGTGATATGAGATGTAACTCTATAAGCAGTGTTGTGCTGAGTGTGTGTGTGTTATGGGATGTAACTCTATAAGCAGTGTTGTGCTGAGTGTGTGTGTGTTATGAGATGTAACTCTATAGCAGTGTTGTGCTGAGTGTGTGTGTGTTATGAGATGTAACTCTATAAGCAGTGTTGTGCTGAGTGTGTGTGTGTTATGGGATGTAACTCTATAAGCAGTGTTGTGCTGAGTGTGTGTGTGTTATGGGATGTAACTCTATAAGCAGTGTTGTGCTGCTGAGTGTGTGTGTGTTATGAGATGTAACTCTATAAGCAGTGTTGTGCTGAGTGTGTGTGTGTTATGAGATGTAACTCTATAGCAGTGTTGTGCTGAGTGTGTGTGTGTTATGAGATGTAACTCTATAAGCAGTGTTGTGCTGAGTGTGTGTGTGTTATGGGATGTAACTCTATAAGCAGTGTTGTGCTGAGTGTGTGTGTGTTATGGGATGTAACTCTATAAGCAGTGTTGTGCTGCTGAGTGTGTGTGTGTTATGAGATGTAACTCTATAAGCAGTGTTGTGCTGAGTGTGTGTGTGTTATGAGATGTAACTCTATAAGCAGTGTTGTGCTGAGTGTGTGTGTGTTATGAGATGTAACTCTATAAGCAGTGTTGTGCTGAGTGTGTGTGTGATATGAGATGTAACTCTATAAGCAGTGTTGTGCTGAGTGTGTGTGTGTTATGGGATGTAACTCTATAAGCAGTGTTGTGCTGAGTGTGTGTGTGTTATGAGATGTAACTCTATAAGCAGTGTTGTGCTGCTGAGTGTGTGTGTGTTATGAGATGTAACTCTATAAGCAGTGTTGTGCTGAGTGTGTGTGTGTTATGAGATGTAACTCTATAGCAGTGTTGTGCTGAGTGTGTGTGTGTTATGAGATGTAACTCTATAAGCAGTGTTGTGCTGAGTGTGTGTGTGTTATGGGATGTAACTCTATAAGCAGTGTTGTGCTGAGTGTGTGTGTGTTATGAGATGTAACTCTATAAGCAGTGTTGTGCTGAGTGTGTGTGTGTTATGAGATGTAACTCTATAGCAGTGTTGTGCTGAGTGTGTGTGTGTTATGGGATGTAACTCTATAAGCAGTGTTGTGCTGAGTGTGTGTGTGTTATGAGATGTAACTCTATAGCAGTGTTGTGCTGAGTGTGTGTGTGTTATGAGATGTAACTCTATAAGCAGTGTTGTGCTGAGTGTGTGTGTGTTATGAGATGTAACTCTATAAGCAGTGTTGTGCTGAGTGTGTGTGTGATATGAGATGTAACTCTATAGCAGTGTTGTGCTGAGTGTGTGTGTGTGTTATGAGATGTAACTCTATAAGCAGTGTTGTGCTGAGTGTGTGTGTGTTATGAGATGTAACTCTATAAGCAGTGTTGTGCTGAGTGTGTGTGTGTTATGGGATGTAACTCTATAGCAGTGTTGTGCTGAGTGTGTGTGTGTTATGAGATGTAACTCTATAGCAGTGTTGTGCTGAGTGTGTGTGTGTGTTATGAGATGTAACTCTATAAGCAGTGTTGTGCTGAGTGTGTGTGTGTTATGAGATGTAACTCTATAAGCAGTGTTGTGCTGAGTGTGTGTGTGTTATGAGATGTAACTCTATAAGCAGTGTTGTGCTGAGTGTGTGTGTGTTATGAGATGTAACTCTATAAGCAGTGTTGTGCTGAGTGTGTGTGTGTTATGAGATGTAACTCTATAAGCAGTGTTGTGCTGAGTGTGTGTGTGTTATGAGATGTAACTCTATAAGCAGTGTTGTGCTGAGTGTGTGTGTGTTATGAGATGTAACTCTATAAGCAGTGTTGTGCTGAGTGTGTGTGTGTACTCACCGAGCACCGCGAGCTCGCAGGACGCAGAGATGTTCTGCTGTTTGTTCTGAGCGACGCAGGTGTAAACTCCCGAATCGTCGTCCGTCACGCTGGTGATCAGGAGGTTGCTGCCGCTCAACAGAGAGTATTTCTTCGATCTGAGAGAGAATCAGTCACACACACACACACACACACACACACACACACACACACACACACACACACACACACACACACCATCAGTCTTCACTTTAACAGCGGAAGCGTTCTATATTCACATAGAAAACAGCTGATTTACACTGGAGTAATATTTCATATTTTTTCCAGTATTTTTGATCAAATAAATGAGCAGAAGAGACATTATTAATAAATAAATAAATATTCACATAGAAAGCAGCTATTTTACATTTTAATAATATTTCACTATTTTTTTGATCAATTAAACAGCCACGGCAAGTGTAAATATAATGTATTTTATCCGCAGTTTATAGTTGTATTCCTCACGATGTGTGTGTGTGTGTGTGTGTGTTTGTGTGTGTGTGTGTGTGTGTGTGTGTTTGTGTGTGTGTGTGTGTGTGTGTGTGTGTGTGTGTTTGTGTGTGTGTGTGTGTGTGTGTGTGTTTGTGTGTGTGTGTGTGTGTGTGTGTGTGTGTGTTTGTGTGTGTGTGTGTGTGTGTGTGTGTGTGTGTGTTTGTGTGTGTGTGTGTGTGTGTGTGTGTTTGTGTGTGTGTGTGTGCTCACCTGCTCTGGACGAGCTCAGTTCCTCTCATCCAGAGGAAGGATGGGTTTGGAAACCCGGAGGCGGAACATTCCAGAACCGCGTCTGTTCCCTGAAGAGCCGAAACCTTCTGAGGTCTCTGGAGGAACACCAGACCTCTCGCCACTCCAGGCTCTGCTCGACACACACACACACACACACGTTAGATTGTTTATTCTCGCCTTGGTCAGGAAGCATCATCTCTGGAGGCGCATATGAATATGAATATGAATATGCACATATGAATGTATGTCCTCTGTATTTTTGTCAGTAGAAACATTGTTTCTTCAGTAATGTATCTTGATTTAGGAATGTTTCGATATTTCTGCTGGAAAAGACAGTAACACTAACGGTGCGTGTCCACTACAGCGGCTAACTTTGGCTAATGTGTCTGTTGCGAGTGTGTTTAATCTATGTTTTTTTTTCAAAACACGGACAATATAATCATCAGAGAGCCACGAGATTACATTTGGAGATAGACAAGCTTTGTTTCCAAATGCCACAAGCAAAGATATCCTGTCAATTTTATAAACTTTTGTAAACCTAGCCAGTAAAATCACAATGAACACATCCAAACTGAAATGTTCAACACACACACACACACACACACACACACACTTTCTCTCGTCTCTGCTGTCTGTGACCTCTGAACTCTCAGGATAAAGCTGCTGGTATCGAGCACAGTTCTCCTGTACGCCTGCAGGAGCGTTACCCAGAATGCCCTGTTTCAGTCCGTCTGGGCCGTTAGAGACGCTTCCATCAGATCCTCTGTTCAGCGGTCAGGAAACACACCAGTCCGTTCTGGCCGGAGGGGATTCACTCTTTCCCATAGTTTCCCATCTAACACTCCAGGAACAGCTTCAGTCCATCCTCACACACACACACACACCTGAGAGCGATCAATCCCATCAGATCAATCTCCTCTTCCTCTCTGAGGCCTTGTCCACACTAATACGTTTTCTCTCCGCTTTGTCTTCCGTCGACACTGAGACGTATGGAAGCTTGTTTCTATGGAAGCTTGTTTCCGCCACTGAATAAAAATAAATAAATAAATAATTGCGACTTTTTATCTCACAATTGCGAGATATGAAGTCAGAATTGTGAGAAATAAAGTCGCAATTGCGAGATATAAAGTTGCAATTATGAGAAATAAAGTCGCAATTGCGAGATATAAAGTTGCAATTATGAGAAATAGTCGCAATTGCGAGAAAAAAAGGTAATTGCGACTTTTTATCTCACAATTCTGACTTTTTTTCTCACAATTGCGAGTTTACATCTCGCAATTCTGACTTTATAACACATAATTGCGAGTATATATCTCGAAATTCTGACATCTTTTCTCTTTTCTTTTCTCGCAATTGCGAGTTATCAGGCCAATTCTAAGGGGGGGAAAAGACTGACTTTTTCCCCCTCAGAAAAGTTTATATCTCACAATTCTGACTTCACAACGAAATTGCGACTTTATATCAATCAATTCTGACTTTATCTCTCGCAATTCTGACTTTATAACACGAAATTGCGACTTTATTTCACGCAATTCTGACTTTACAACACGCAATTGTGACTTTATATCAATCAATTCTGACTTTATATCTCGCAATTCTGACTTTATAACACGCAATTGCGACTTTATATCAATCAATTCAGAATTGTGAGATAAAAAGTCACAATTACCTTTTTTATTTTTCATTCTGTGGCGGAAACAAGCTTCCATAGAGACGGCGTTTTTATTAATGAAAACGAAGCTTTTTGAAAACACTCTCCAGAGTGAAAACGTTTGAAAACGGTGTTTTTGCGCTGTATTGTGGACTGAGAAACCGGAGGTATTTAAAACTGATGACGTAATTTTAGTCATGTGACGCATATTGTACCACTATATATTCATGTTTATACTGGTATTGTGCCTGTTATGTGCGATTTACTTTCACAGTTGCTAAAATATGTCACAGTCCTGCAAAGATGACCGAACATATAATGATGAGTGAGTGCGACCTGGACACCTTATTCATTTAGCAGAAGCTTTTATCCAAAGCAACTTTAGAAATATCCAAACAAAAAAGATGCTGAATGACAGTCAGTGAATGCAGGTGACACGAAGATGGGGCCGACATTCATGAGAGATACAGCTGAAATTAGAGATGGAGTTTGTCTCATTAAACCAAATGTGTAGTTGCTATAATCATGTCAACAGTTTAAGTAACTCTCTCAGCAGGGTTCAGCTGAAACTGACAGCAGAAAACACACTCACTCTCAACGCAAGAAATGGAGTTGTGCATTAACAAGAATTTTCATGCATGTGTTTCAAGCCCAAAAAAACTTAAATCAGGAGCGACAGCATTTCTCCTGATTTCTGGTCTTGTTTAAGGAGAGGATTAGTAGAATATAAAGGAGACGGGAATCATTAGCAGGACGCTGAGGTCACTGTCTCAAACACGACTAACGAGTCATTGATTCTCGTACATTGATCAACGGAAATGTCAGAGCTGCAGAAATCATTTGCGGAAAATGACTGATATTTATGAGATAAGCTTTTGCAACACTTTCATTTGTTATCATAAGCATTTCATTCAATGGATGAAACAAAATACACATTAACATGATTTGTTCAAATATAAACTGTAAAAACACTATATTGCCAAAATTTTGGGGACGTCTGCCTTTACATGCATATGAACTTTAATGACAACCCATTCCTGATCCGTAGGGCTTAATATGGAGTTGCTCCATCATTTGCTGCTATAACAGCTTCAGCTCTTCTGGGAAGGCTTTCCACAAGGGTTAGGAGTGTGTTTATGGGGATGTTTGCCCATTCTTCTAGAAGCGCAATAGTGAGGTCCGGCACTGCGTCCCACGCTTTACTCCACTGCATCCCACGCTTTACACCACTACATCCCATGCTTTACTCCACTGCATCCCACGCTTTACTCCACTGCATCCCACGCTTTACCCCACTGCGTCCCACGCTTTACACCACTGCATCCCACGCTTTACACCACTGCATCCCACGCTTTACTCCACTGCGTCCCACGCTTTACTCCACTGCGTCCCACGCTTTACACCACTGCATCCCACGCTTTACACCACTACATCCCATGCTTTACTCCACTGCATCCCACGCTTTACTCCACTGCATCCCACGCTTTACCCCACTGCGTCCCACGCTTTACACCACTGCATCCCACGCTTTACACCACTGCATCCCACGCTTTACCCCACTGCGTCCCACGCTTTACACCACTGCATCCCACGCTTTACTCCACTGCATCCCACGCTTTACTCCACTGCATCCCATGCTTTACTCCACTGCATCCCACGCTTTACCCCACTGCATCCCACGCTTTACTCCACTGCATCCCACGCTTTACACCACTGCATCCCATGCTTTACTCCACTGCATCCCACGCTTTACACCACTGCATCCCATGCTTTACTCCACTGCATCCCATGCTTTACTCCACTGCATCCCACGCTTTACTCCACTGCATCCCATGCTTTACTCCGCTGCATCCCACGCTTTACCCCACTGCATTCCACGCTTTACTCCACTGCATCCCAAGCTTTACTCCACTGCATCCCATGCTTTACTCCACTGCATCCCACGCTTTACACCACTGCATCCCATGCTTTACTCCACTGCATCCCATGCTTTACTCCACTGCATCCCACGCTTTACCCCACTGCATCTCACGCTTTACACCACTGCATCTCACGCTATACACCACTGCATCCCACGCTTTACACCACTGCATCCCACGCTTTACCCCACTGCGTCCCACGCTTTACCCTACTGCATCTCACGCTTTACACCACTGCATCTCACGCTTTACACCACTGCATCTCACGCTTTACACCACTGCATCCCACGCTTTACCCCACTGCGTCCCACGCTTCACCCTACTGCATCTCACGCTTTACACCACTGCATCTCACGCTTTACACCACTGCATCTCACGCTTTACACCACTGCATCCCACGCTTTACCCCACTGCGTCCCACGCTTTACCCTACTGCATCTCACGCTTTACACCACTGCATCTCACGCTTTACACCACTGCATCTCACGCTTTACACCACTGCATCTCACGCTTTACTCCACTGCGTCCCACGCTTTACTCCACTGCATCTCACGCTTTACACCAATGCATCCCACGCTTTACACCACTGCATCCCACGCTTTACCCCACTGCGTCCCACGCTTTACCCCAATGCGTCCCACGCTTTACCCCACTGCGTCCCACGCTTTACCCCACTGCATCTCACGCTTTACCCCACTGCGTCCCACGCTTTACCCCACTGCGTCCCACGCTTTACCCCACTGCATCTCACGCTTTACCCCACTGCATCTCATGCTTTACACCACTGCATCTCACGCTTTACACCACTGCATCCCACGCTTTACCCCACGCTTTACCCCACTGCGTTCCACGCTTTACCCCACTACATCTCACGCTTTACCCCACTGCATCTCACGCTTTACCCCACTCCGTCCCATGCTTTACCCCACTGCGTCCCACGCTTTACCCCACTGCATCTCACGCTTTACCCCACTGCATCTCATGCTTTACACCACTGCATCCCACGCTTTACACCACTGCATCCCACGCTTTACCCCACTGCATCTCACGCTTTACCCCACTGCGTCCCACGCTTTAAACCACTGCATCTCACGCTTTACACCACTGCATCCCACGCTTTACACCACTGAATCCCACGCTTTACACCACTGCATCCCACGCTTTACCCCACTGCATCTCACGCTTTACACCACTGAATCCCACGCTTTACCCCACTGCATCCCACGCTTTACCCCACTGCATCCCACACTTTACCCCACTGCATCCCAAGCTTTACACCACTGCATCTCACGCTTTACTCCACTGCATCCCACGCTTTACCCCACTGCATCCCAAGCTTTACCCCACTGCATCTCACGCTTTACCCCACTGCATCTCACGCTTTACTCCACTGAATCCCACGCTTTACCCCACTGCATCCCACGCTTTACCCCACTGCATCTCACGCTTTACACCACTGCATCCCACGCTTTACACCACTGCATCTCACGCTTTACTCCACTGCATCCCACGCTTTACCCCACTGCATCCCACGCTTTACTCCACTGCATCCCACGCTTTACCCCACTGCATCCCACGCTTTACACCACTGCATCTCATGCTTTACTCCACTGCATCCCACGCTTTACCCCACTGCATCTCATGCTTTACCCCACTGCATCTCACGCTTTACACCACTGCATCCCACGCTTTACACCACTGAATCCCACGCTTTACACCATTGCATCCCACGCTTTACACCACTGAATCCCACGCTTTACACCACTGCATCCCACGCTTTACCCCACTGCATCCCACGCTTTACACCACTGAATCCTACGCTTTACCCCACGGCATCCCATACTTTACCCCACTGCATCTCACGCTTTACCCCACTGCATCTCACGCTTTACCCCACTGCATCTCACGCTTTACCCCACTGCATCTCACGCTTTACCCCACTGCATCCCACGCTTTACTCCACTGCATCCCACGCTTTACCCCACTGCATCCCACGCTTTACACCACTGCATCTCATGCTTTACTCCACTGCATCCCACGCTTTACCCCACTGCATCTCACGCTTTACTCCACTGCATCCCACGCTTTACCCCACTGCATCCCAAGCTTTACCCCACTGCATCTCTTGCTTTACCCCACTGCATCCCACGCTTTACCCCACTGCATCTCACGCTTTACCCCACTGCATCCCACGCTTTACACCACTGCATCCCACGCTTTACCCCACTGCATCTTACGCTTTACTCCACTGCATCCCACGCTTTACTCCACTGCATCCCACGCTTTACTCCACTGCATCCCACGCTTTACTCCACTGCATCCCACGCTTTACCCCACTGCATCTCACGCTTTACCCCACTGCATCCCACGCTTTACCCCACTGCATCTCACGCTTTACCCCACTGCATCCCACGCTTTACTCCACTGCATCCCACGCTTTACACCACTGCATCCCATGCTTTACTCCAC